GTATGATATTAAAAAACAGAAAGAAAAACTGTTAAAGTTCTTTTCTGACAGTGGATCAAAAAGGAAAATGTTTGTAAGGAAGTCAATGTCGGAGGGAAAAAGTGCGGAACTAGACCAAGTTCTCATAACCTGGTTTAATCTTTGTGTAAGTGAAGGTGTGGAAATTTCTGGTGATTTATTAAAGGAACAAGCCAAAGTGTTTCATGAAGAGCTGGGATTGCAACACAAGTGTGACTATACAGAAGGTTGGCTGCAACGTTTCAAGTCGCGACATGGCTTACATTTTCGTGCAGTATGTGGTGAAAAACATTCAGCAGACAAGGATGCAGCTAGTGCCTATGTGGATGAATTTGCAAAGTTAGTTAGTGATGAACATTTAAGTCCTGAACAAGTGTACAATGCTGACGAGACTGCCTTATTTTGGAGATGTACGCCAAAAAGAACTCTGACAACTGAGGATGCAGAAAAGCACCTTATACATGAACTTCTTGCTTATGTTAAAGATGTAACTAATCCTGATGCCAAGGAGCTTTCATCAAGGATAAATGAAGATGTTTTAACAGAATGGTTGGATGTTGATGATAATGTGCCTACAGTTCATCCTTACACTGATTCTGAAATTGTAGATATGGTTAAAAGTCTGGAGAGAAATGCCTGTACAGGTAGTGATGAAGATGAAAGCAGTGAAGAAAATGAGGAAGATGTGAGAGACAGAATCTCTATTGACAGGTTAATTACGTTGACAACTGAACTGCTGGCTGGACTAGAGCAACGAAGTTTTGTAAGTGAACAAGAAATCATGAATGTTTTCTTGCTCCAAGATAAACTTATTAGAGAAAGACCCAAGTATATGAAGCAACAGACATTGCACGATATATTCAAGGAAATAGCTAGGAAGCAGGAAGAAGCAACAGCGGTGTCCACACTTGATAATCCACTGCCATCAACTTCAAGACAAGTTGAAGCTGTTCCTGTTGCTGAGGATGTTGTCACTGTCAGTGATAAAGATGATAATCCTGACAGCCCATCTGCTGTTTAGCCTGCTAAACATTAAAATTTCATTTGCTTTTCATTTAGTGTTTAATTTTCTTTTTTTTTAAAGGACTATACAGGTAGTAATTTTCTGTTAAATATACTGTATACAACATATATAATAAAATTTCATTTGCATTTCATTTAGTGTTTAATTTTCTTTTTTTTTTAAAAGGACTGTACAGATAGTCATTTTCTGTTAAACTTATACAGCAAATATAACCATCAGTTTTCCGGCATATTCGAAAATCCGGCACTCCTCAGGTCCCGAGGTTGCCGGATTTTTGATAGTCAACCTGTACAACATTTTTTATATCTTGAGCAAAATATATGACGCTTATATTCAAATTAATCTCTGTCTTGCAAGGATTTCAGCAATGCAAATTATATTATCCTAACTTTAATCTGAGATATTATATAAAACAAACATAAAGAAATCACCAATCTTTTATCTTGAACATGAGGGTGATGGGAAGACGGCAGGGGGGCGACAGAATGTCTGCCATTTGTTTGTTTATTTATTTGAGATAAGATTTGACAGTTGGTGCTGAAGGCCTGCGTGTTTATTTATCATTACTTAAGAGTGACTAAACTCTTCTCATAATTTACCACCCAAACGACCTGGGTGAATATTACTTACATTGGAGGGATTCTTGTAAGATAGTACAGTAATTTATTTGAATACCTGTATAAACAAGCTATATTTGCAATAGACATAATAATTTTAGTACCGTAATCATTTAGTACATGTACAATACAGGTTTGCACTTAGGTCCATTGTTACTGTACAATATTGACTAAATTCACTAGATAACGTACGCCTGGCAGCACAATCTATAAGAATACGCGATGCATACGTGACTGTGCCCGCTCTAGGGCCGTTTAGGTTCGCTAGGTCCTATTATTTGAATGTTTATTTTTTCAATTAAAATTTGTATTGTTTATTCCTTGATAGAGGAAGTGGGATCCTAGTGCTGTCACTTGGTACCCCTGTACCATAACACCAGAAGCAACTGGCCAGTGTCACAAGTATATACAGTACAGTACAGTCATCCCTTGGTTATCGCGCCTAATTGGGACCCCGCCGATAACGAAAGTACAGAACCTATGGGATTTATTCTAATTGGTTCCAGGCACCCAAGACCCAACCCCAAGTTTCCCATTTTACGACCATTTAGACCCACTAAATATATATATAATGTTATGGTAAATATCATAAACACACATAGGCATGGCTAGGTTTATTACAAAGTGATGAAAAGGGTACGCTTAATACTGTAGTCCACAAAACATATAGCTATGCTTTTTTTATTTGGTCCCCCGTCATACGAGTCTGTTTCCTCTCGCATCAGGACGCCTGAGTCCTCCGTTTTCTCTCTTAATCTTAGAGTGCACTAGAGACTTCACTATACTTAGTAATGCCACAGAATTTGAAATTGCAACCCCAGTTGCAACTGGGGTTTCAATTGTTGAGGCAACTAGATATGTCTGATTACAGCAAATGTGTTATTGTCAATTTGTAGGTGAAAGATTTTATCCTCAATAGATGTAGGTTAACATTACACCTGGAGGCAAATGTTTAAAAAAGCCTAAGGAAAGAAGCGCATTCCTTTAACACATAATATCTGGCCAGTATGGGGAGGATCATCGTGTCTCCGTCAGGGGGTCGTGGAGTGGTGATCCAGCAGGCGTCACGGATTGGGTTTTTTTTGGGGTGTGCATGTAGAAGGCTCCTGGTTGATGATGATGATGATGGGAATTAGAAGTAGGGGTGGAGGAGAAGGGAGAAGAGAAGGAAGTGGGGGTGGAGGAGAAATCACCCCATGCTTGATGCCGTCATTTCACCCATAAAATTTTAAGTTCACTTGGTGTAATCCAAGATTATTTTCTTTAAATCAACACTGCACTGCGCTATATATTGGCAATATGTAAAATAAATTTCAGAATGACCAATACAGTGGGGTATGCTATAACGAACGGATCCTACTACGAATATTCCTATAACGAACGGTTTTACCTATACAATTGAGAATGCTATAACGAACGAAACTCCTACAACGAACATTATTTAAAAAAAAATAATTTTTTTTTTTTTTTTTACTAATTTATTGTTTTTTTATTACAAGAATTAATGATATTCTTTATTTCAGGGGTTTAGATGCATATTTATGCACTTTTTTAAAATTTTTACAATTTTATATTATATTTTTCAGTGTTAAGCGGTTGTATTTGGGGGCCTGGAACGGATTAATCCTATAACGAACGAATGCTATAACGAACAAGGTTCTAGAACCAATTAGATTCGTTATAGCATACCCCACTGTAATTGTACTATAAAAACGTAAAAATAGTTTACATTCAAGAGAGCCACAAGCAAGATGTTACCTCCACTGACCAGAGATACAAACTGACGCCTTGCTGGGTGAGTCAAGTGGCTGATGGGCACACCAAAAACTAGTTTCCTGTACTTCAATTATGTTAAATAAGTGTTTAAAATGACTAAAAAATTTAATATAAAACTTGGAAAATTATTGAATAGTACAACCTTCTTGATATTTACGCAAATGGGAACGAATTTAAGCCCTAGAACAGATTACTGGGGTTGACGTTATGGGTGATGCAATTGGTCATCATGTGGGTAATCAGGGTCATTGACATCATCAGAATCACTCAAATCACTGTCTGTTCCTAATGGCTCCTCAGCATCACAAGGAGCATCCTTATCAAAGAGAATAGACTTTATTTTGGCATCACTGATAGCACGATGTGACGACATCCTTACAGAGTGGGACAGGCGAAGGTACTGGCATGTTGACAAGAAACACGAGACAAAGTGACGTAATTGCCTGCAGGGGTGTAGTTATAGCTCTAGGGCCCATAGTGACTACCGGGAATTTTAAAATTTTCAAGGACGTTCATATGCGCCCTAAACCTGGGTGTCCCTTACCTTAGTGGACGTTAATGCCCTAAACCTGGGTGTCCCTTACCTCAGTGGACGTTAACGCCCTAAACCTGGGTGTCCCTTACCTTAGTGGACGTTAGCGCCCTAAACCTGGGTGTCCCTTACCTTAGTGGACGTTAACGCCCTAAACCTGGGTGTCCCTTACCTTAGTGGACGTTAGCGCCCTAAACCTGGGTGTCCCTTACCTTAGTGGACGTTAGCGCCCTAAACCTGGGTGTCCCTTACCTTAGTGGACGTTAACGCCCTAAACCTGGGTGTCCCTTACCTTAGCAGATGTTAACGCCCTAAACCTGGGTGTCCCTTACCTTAGCAGATGTTAACGCCCTAAACCTGGGTGTCCCTTACCTTAGCAGATGTTAACGCCCTAAACCTGGGTGTCCCTTACCTTAGTGGACGTTAATGCCCTAAACCTGGGTGTCCCTTACCTTAGTGGACGTTAACGCCCTGAACCTGGGTGTCCCTTACCTTAGTGGACGTTAATCTACACCCCAAACCACGTAGGGGTTAAATAATTCTCAAAAAACTTTATTTGAAGTGAATATTGATCTTTATCACCATTACTGAAGTGACACTTATCTTATTTCTCTGTTCAGATTTATAATTGTTTCATGGGTCAGCCCCCGAGCCTTCACCTCAAAATGAAGACGTTTGACCATCAACAACAAAACATGTGTGTAATTTAGGGTGTTATGTACTGTAATATCAAAAGTGTAATATTGAATCGTGCTGTATCGAGTGTCTGCTGTAAATGATCCCCTTAAACCATTGCAATATACTGTACAGGCATCCTTCACTTAACAAGCAAGTGACAAAGTTGTTGTTATTCCATCATTATACATAAACAATAACTGATTTATGGCATCATTTTTACTCATGTCCATTGTCTACTTGCTGCGTGGAGCACCTCATTTATCCTTTCATTCTTTATTGCATTTTCTTCAACTTGTTTTCTCAACCCAATCAGTTCCCTTCAGAAAACATTTTAAAAGATTTAATTTTCCGTTAGGAGCAGAAGATCCTGTCTCAAGTATGTCCATTGAAGGAGCAACAACAAACTCGGACTCTCTCCCCATCACGCCAAGTTACCTGGCACACCCCCCCATAGACTACAAGGTTCCTATGACTGTCAAAAACCCTACTGGAAAGCCAATCACAAATGGGATAGTGGAGACCAACGGCCATCCTGGTGTACCAAGCCAACCGCCGAGCTATGTTGCTGCCCCCATGCACTCGTCTTACCCAAGTTCCATCCAGGACTATCTGGTGAAGCAAAACAAAGGTAAGTACTGTATCTGTAAAGGGTTTAATGAATGGATGAGTTAGAGGGAATTATGAGGTATTAGATATATACAGAATGAGCTTAAACCTAGAGGCTGTGAGGCTTTATCTGGTACAGTATTGTTGAATATAGTTTACTCAAGGTTGGGTTTCATAGATTTCTGTTGCTTGACTAAGATGAACTGACAAAATTCTTAACAATTCACCATTTATTGATTTACTTATACTGGGCAGTTAGTGTATTCCTTATTTAGTTAAGACCTTCCTTGTCAAGTGTTAGTACAGGAGGAAACTAGTGTACCCAGAGCCATGTTTAGTAGTGTCACTCTGGCTAACACCCTCGTCATATCTATCTTGGACTGGGGATTAAACCCAGGATACATTGGTGAGTGATACTGTGCATGTTTTACCGTTGCACCACCAATACTGAACAGGAAGTAGAGGTGAATGAAAATTGACAAGAAAATGATAATCAGTACAGTCATGTTGCATCTTACATGCATTTAACTTATACGCATTCAACTGTATGTGCTTGGCTCAGGGAAAACAAAAAGGACGCAGCGAGAGAAGGAGTGTATGGATGGGGGAGATACTTCCACCCGCGCCTCTCTCCGCCTCAGTTGGGACTTGTTTGGGTCGGCAGAGGCAGCACATCCCAGCTGAGCTGCGATGCAGTGTGTGCACTATCCTGTATAAATTTTGCTTTTTAATGCTTTCATTATTTTTCCTAAATATTCTCTGCTGAAATCAACTGGAAAGTCAGTGACACAGATGATAAAGTCAACTTACAGCAGAGGTGGTTGTGTGGTGCACAATTAAACTGAAATAGGCCTAACCAGCCAAGTCACCAGATGGTCTATTGACAACTGCCCACTGCTTCCACTGTGTAGAATCTGTCAACACAACAACCACACCCTGAGTTAACTAGCCACATGACCCATTGTCAAGGAATAGTTCGAGAAGACTGAACAACTTGCCAACTGCACTGGCTAACCATTACCTCGGAATACGATTCACAACTTTTACAGCTAGTTTCTTTACAGTGCAGGGGGCCACCCAAATTTGCGGATTTTAATTTCACGGACCTCTTATTATTCGCGGATGACACTGTAGGGTACGGGTTATTTGGTTCAACTCAGGATGGGATGGAGAAAGGAAACTCACAATGTGCTCTCTGTATACATGTTGTATTGGATATACAGTGCAGCTTGGTGCTGGGGGGTAGCAGCGTTAGTCCAAGCGTGATGTAGAGAGAGCTGGTTGGTGAGGGTGTTCAGAAGACTAGCTTGTGGGTCGTCATGGTCGCTGGCGGGAGCGAGGGCCACCAGGCAGGAGGAGGAGGAGGTGTTGCTTGCTGGTTGGTGTAGGTCGAAAGAGAGAGGCAGGTCACCACGAGGTCAGGTCTTATAGAGCGGAGGTAGGCGTGGCTTAATAGTTGACCTCCGTCATGTAAGGCGGCGCTGGTTGACCTAGACACGAGGCATACACTGGGGAATTCGCGGGGTCGGCTACTCAGCGCCAAGCGTTTGTAGGGGAGGAATCCACTACAACACCCTGGATGTACCCAAAAATGTCTGCTGGTAGTTTTAAAGTTGCCGGCATTTTCGTGGATGGGATAGGGAGCCATTCATTCTAGAGACAGTAATTTCCTTTATCTGTATTTTGCATGCGTGCGTGCGCACGCGCAAAACACATACTGTACAAATAAATAATAATGGGAAAATTCTCTCACAAATAATCTGAAACAAATTTATAAAAAATGTGAGAGTCTTCCCTAAAGTCAGTGCTTTATTACCAGCCCCTGTGGATTTGAAGGGCATGCTGTATTATATTTATTTATTCTTCACATTTTCTGGTGCTGTATATATTATTTTAAGTATATTATGGCTACAGGAGGAAAATATACAAAAGTTTTTCTCCTTAATACTCCCTGCTGAAATGGGGGTTGTGTCTTATATGGCATAAAATACAGTATTCTTGGTACATAAAATATTATATAGTGTACCAGTAAATGTGAGGAATAAAAGGATCAATAAATAAAAGAAAAAATACTGTGTTACCATTTAGCAGGAGACAGTGAGAGAGCAGACCAGTGAATAAGGAGACGTCAGCTGTAGCTCCCACCCTCAGCGCTTATTGATTAATTCCCATCATGTTTTTGACCTTTTGATAATTATTTTATAATTTTTGTGGCACATTCTGTGTTTGGTGGGCATTTAAACTGAAATAGGCCTAACCACCTGAGTTCCCAGATGTGTTATTGAAAGGTATATATAACCATGTACATTCTGAGTGATTTATGGGATTGTCAAGGGTAATTTTAACTATTCATAACCCCTACGTAAGATGCAACACAACTGTAATGTACAGTTGCTCCTCTACTTATGAACGAGTTACGTTCCTGAGGCTTGTTTGTAAGTCCAACTTTACTCTTGTAGATACCAAACATATTGTAAAAATGAAAAGATTATGGATGTTTAGTATAGCTACACCCTTTAATACAGCCTTAAAACCTGGTCACTCTTCTCCTCTTAGGTAATGTTTGCTCTATCTGGAATTTTCTTCAAAATAATCCAGTCTCATCCACATTAAACACCTGTTATGGCAGGTAACCTCCTCAGTGATGATGTTTGTATCTCTGAAAGTTTGTAAGTTGAACATTCTTAAGTAGAGGAGCACCTGTATACATCCGAGAAAACCAAAACTTAAGTTCATAGGACAGTGATGTAATATATTGGCCAAAGAAGCATCAGTGTAGAAAGAAGAGCAGGAAGATGACAAGAAATGTATTTGATGAATTTATATAGAGCAGCCACAGGTTTGGGAGATACAGTACTTGCTGTATTATGATCCACAATACAGTGTTGTAAGGATGTTCTGCTTAATACTGTACAGGGACTTTTTTTTTAGTTTTGAGAATCTTAAATTATTGTCATATTATTTCTACTGATTATTAGGATCTTGTTTATTGTACACACTAAAGTATAGTACAGAAATCATTTATGATTCTCCAATTGCAAAAAAAATTACCTTTTTCTAGAAAGGCTTTATTTTTTTTAATGTACAGTACTATTGTTTGTGTTGAGAGGGTGACTTTTATTTTCAGAATTAATATTGAAAGTGAGAGTAGCCAACACTGATGACCCAGACTTTATTGAAGTGGATTTCCAGAAAGCTCAAATGAACTATAGTCATCTGCTAACAAATTGTTGCAAGGAGCTGGCAGTGAATCCTCAGCTGGTGGAAAGAATAAGGTTTGTTCCTGCCCTTATGTCTATTGAACCTTATTATGAGGGCTGAAGTACTTGACAACTGCGATTGACTCATGACAACAAGTTGATAGAATGGGTGGGAGAAAAACACAGGGAAGTGCCAAGTTTCTTTATGTCTCTGGGTTCTGTGTGGCCTAAAACAGAAACCTTGCTCTCTTCTCTCCCACCTGCTACTTGACATCTATACAGGAATATGTCTTTATGCTTCCTTCATGGATAGTCAACACTAACCCTCCTAGTTTGGTTTTTCTTTACTCTATTGTTGATTTAGTTATGCATGAAGACCTAATTGATACTTTACCCTGTGTCACCTACCATTACCCTGTGTCACCAACCATTACCCTGTGTCACCAACCATTACCCTGTGTCACCAACCATTACCCTGTGTCACCTACCATTACCCTGTGTCACCAACCATTACCCTGTGTCACCAACTATTACCCTAAGCCACTAACCATTACTCCCAGGTCACTATTTACCCTAGCCACTCTACCATCTCTGTGTCACTAAATCCATTACCCTTGTGTCACTCTACCATTACCCTGTGTCACTCAACCATTACCTCCCCAGGTCACCTACTCATTACCCTGTGTCACCTACTATCACTCCCAGTCACCAACCATTACCCCAGGCTCATCAACTATTACCCTGTGTCACTAACCACATCTGTGTCACTCTACTATCATTCTAGGTCACCTATCATTACCCCTGTGTCACTAACCATTACCCTGTGTCACTAACCATTACCCTGTGTCGACTACCATTACCTCCTGTGTCACCTACCATTACCCTGTGTCACCTATCAGCACCCCCAGTCACCTATCATTACCCCCGTGTCACCAACCATTACCTGTGTCACCTACCATTACCCTGTGTCACCTAACAGCACCCAGTCACCAACCATTACCCCAGGTCACCTACCATTACCCTGCATCACCAACCACACACCTCCTGTGTCACCTACCATTACCCTGTGTCACTCCACTATTACCCTGTGTCACCAACCATTACTCCTGTGTCACCAACCATTACCCTGTGTCACCTACTCATTACTCCTGTGTCACCTACTCAGCACCCTGTGTCACCTACCATTACCCTGTGTCACCTACCAGCACCCTGTGTCACCTACCATTACCCTGTGTCACCTACCATTCCCCTGCATCACCTACCATTACCCTGCATCACCTACCATTCCCCTGCATCACCTACCATTACCGTGCATCACCTACCATTACCCTGCATCATCACCTACCATTCCCCAGCATCACCAACCATTCCCCTGCATCACCAACCATTCCCCTGCATCACCTACCATTCCCCTGCATCACCTACCATTCCCCTGCATCACCTACCATTCCCCAGCATCACCTACCATTCCCCAGCATCACCTACCATGCCTCTCACCTACTACAATGCTTCATTCTTCACCTACAGTGCTGTGAAGTGTTACTTTTTTAAACTAGTAATTACATGTATACTTATACGGGTCAATAAAGTTTGATTGTTCTCTATAGTAGGGGGAGGGGCGGGGATGTCTTGGTAATTAGGAATTTGGGATAATTGATCAAGGCCAGAGCCCCATAGGTGCCAAGTTATCAAGGTTTTACTGTATGGAGAGCTAAGCTGTTTTGTTTCACTAACATTTGATTGTAACTGTATTTATGTAACACATTATACAAAAAATGAATGAAACTCATTTTAAATACTGTACAGGTTGACAACCCTTTATCTGAAATTCCGAAAACCGAAAAGCTCTGAAAACCGAATTTTTTTTTTTTTATAACAGGGATTAGCCCATCGGGGCCTGGGGGGCGAAAATGTAATAGTAATACTAATTATAATAATAATAATTATTTATAGTAAATATAATTTTTAATTAAAAAATACACCAAAATAAAATAATAATGATAACAATAATAATAATAAAATATAAAAATAAAATTTATAATAATAATAATAATAATAATAATACTGTATTAATAAAATAATAAGAATAATAATAAATACAAGAATGAAAAAAGATAAAAAGTGAGAAACACGACCTAGACCTATGAATTATTATTATTATTATAATTATTATTATATTTTCGCCGCCCGACCAGGTCCCAATGTGGATCAGTGACTTGTGCCCGGATGGGCAAATACACTTAAAAAAAAAAAAAAAAAAAATCTAACCATTCTGATAACCGAAAAATTCCGATATCCGAAATGCCTCTGGCCCCAAGGATTTCGGATAAGGGATTGTCAACCTGTAATAGGAATTTTAGTGTAGTTTTCATCTGTTGCTTTTTTTCTCTTTACCAGTTAGATCTAAGTTTTAGGAGGTTGATCCAAGTTTTTGTGTCGCCTTCACAGGAAACTGCCAAACACTCGCCTCCGTAATGACAGAGACGTGCAGCGCCTGTGTGACTTCATGGAGCTGGAACTTGTAATTAAGGGCCAAAATAGGCTGCCTGTATCTAGAAGTGACACACACTCGACCTCCAAAAACAATTATAAGTCAATTCATGGATTTAAAAACCAAACCATTTTGTATTAGGTAAGTTATTTGATTTACCTTTGACAATTTCAACCATTTTATGAGACAAAGAGGACTACGGTAAAATCTTCTGGAGAGTGTTTATATATATATTTGGAGAATGGAGCCACCTTTGTGGAGTGTTTTAGTATATGACGACTATTTTTTGAACAATACTATTTTAATCTATACACTATATATAAGATTTACTCCATTGATGTATACAACCAGTGTTCCCATCTCCTCCTCCTGACGCACTACTGCACTATAGAGTAAAGATAATGTGTTTATTATTTGTACCAGTAGACTAGAATGTCTCTTGATTTTCCTTCCATCGTAAGAGTTTTCAAGCGTAATATGTGAGAGAAATAACTCCCAAACAAACTTCATATTTGGACTGGGAAGTTTTTTAAGTGGTACTGATGACTTTATATGGGTTCACTGTCACCCTCTTGTTATTTTTGTCTTTTTTTTGTCTGTACACTATATGAATAATTACAATAGTGTGAACCTAACCTATAAATCTTAACATTGTACACAGAGAGAGAGAGGGGGGGGAGACTAGAGAAGTTGGTTTGACAGTCTAGGAAATGATACGAGAAGCCAGATTATAAGAATATTAGTGTTTTTAAACCACAGGAGTATTTGTTGTGCCGTATAGATGCTTTAACTCAATGCTTGAATGTTGTTTCCTGTACACTGTGTTTACCCTGTGGTGGATACAGTCTAATGGTAGTACAGTACAGTATTACCAGTATGTTGTTATTTTTAGATAGATGTGTGCACAGTCTCACAACTTCCCAGTATGAGGTAATGAGTATGATGAGTCATCAGGTTATGAGTATGATGAGTCATTAGGTTATGAGTATGATGAGTCATCAGGTTATGGGTATGATGAGTCATTAGGTTATGAGTACAATGAGTCATCAGGTTGTGAGTATGATGAGTCATCAGGTTATGGGTATGATGAGTCATTAGGTTATGAGTACAATGAGTCATCAGGTTGTGAGTATGATGAGTCATCAGGTTATGGGTATGATGAATCATCAGGTTATAAGTATGATGAGTAGTCATGTTATGAGTAATATTTATAAATCACAAAATAAGTTAAAGTGACTTAAGGTTGAGTGAATGTCTTGGGTAGGTCAGTCTGGTACAGGCGTTACGGAAGGGTTGTGTCCCCGGAAAATTGACCGTATCGTGAAATTCCGTAACGCGAAACCTATTTTCCCATTGACTTCCATTATAAAACTGGAGATGCGTTCCTAAGGAATTTTTTTCGGCCCCCAAAAAGTAATTCAAGCACTTTTATGAATGAAATTAAACATTTATAAACACATACAATACAGTACATTAAATAATTTATGATATACCTTCTTAAAACATCAAGTTTAATATCCACTGTAATGCCTTTGTGGCTTCTTTTTGCACTACTGCAGTCACTTCCATTTGATGGCCTCTTTCCAGTCATCTTGAATAAGAGTAATGCACTGTACTGTACTTACTGTATGTTTGTAAAAGTTAAATCAAACTGCTGGGGCGAGAAACATGTGCCCACACCAGATGTAAACAATGGACTGACTCCGCATGGTGGTAGCAAACACCAAGAAATCCACACCAAACAAATAATAATTTTTAACAAAAAATTTAAATTTTATATACTGTAGTGATTTTTTTTTAATTGTTAAAATTTACCCCAATTTCCATAATGGCGGATTTACGGGCCGTATCGCGAAATTATTGGTCATAATTTACAAATTCCGTAAGAGCGAAATTCCGCAACCCGGGGTTCCGTAACGCGGGGGATGCCTGTGCTTCACTCTACTCTACAAAATGTGGAAAACAGCAGTGGAGAACTTCAGTGTTTAGTACACCCGACACTCATACTGTAGCAATAGTGGGCGAGATTACTTAATTAATTGTTGGTGACTGGAAATTGGAGGGGAAAGAAATACAGTTCAGAAAAAAAACGATATATGAAATGAAAGCAGACACAAGACATTGATTGAAAGGCACAGGAAAAAAATAGGAGAGTCATGATAGAGAAATCAATGTTATACCGAACGTCTCGTAACATTAAGGACACAAACACACAAATCCTCGTGACGCCCCGTTGGTAGAGCGGGGTGTTAAAAGTCGTATTTCTCCGCTGTGGGAGTTTGGGAGTCAGCTGTCCATGGTGGTCTATACCCGAGAGGTGTCTGGAAGGAAGGGGGAGGTCTTGTACACAGGAATGAAGTAATAGAGATTAATGCTGTACATAAGTTGGTTTAATTAGGAACATTGGTCCATAATGACATGGAAATTTGATATAAAATGATGGTAATGACTGTGTGGTAAATGATGGTAATGACTGTGTGGTAAATGATGGTAATGACTGTGTGGTAAATGATTCATTCATCCGATATAACAAACTCTCGATTTAGCGGAAGGAATATTTTCCGTTATTTTTCGCTCGATTTAGTGAACTAGTTCGCTAAAGCCAGATTAATTCCACTAATACGCTCACACCTACAGACACATGATACAGTAAAACCTTCTTCAGCCTACGGTGAGTGTACTTAATGTACAGGGAGTGTTTAGGAAACTGTTGCCAGTAACATATAAAACCACACAGGAAAATGGAAACAATGAAGCACCATAGCTCTTGTCTTTATTCAAGACATCTTCAGAGGCAACTGAATTTACAGGGTTTGAGAGAGGTTTATATAATGGGTGACCTTACATAACATCAGGTCAGGTCAAAAACATGACCCACTAATCATCTACCCTATATTCACCTCAAATGCTTTCAAAGCATTTTTAACTTTAGGCCAGTTATTATTCATTAATTAAAACCCCAACACCACACACCTAACATCTAGAGTTTAAAGTCTTGAGTGAGACACTGTGAGTTGGATGGAGGAGGGAGGGGGAGCCAGGGAAGGAGGGAGGGGGAGCCAGGGAAGGAGGGAGAGAAGCAGGGAAGGAGGGAGGGGGGCTGGCTGGTGTATGTTTTATCAATGATAATATAAAATATTAAATTGCAACCACAATGCATAAATTATCACAACCTGTACTTTTAAATGTACTGTACTAAGTTAATTACTAAAAAAATTTTCTAGTGCAAACTATGGAATGTGACCCACTAATCCCTCACCTAAGAAAGGGTGACCTGACATTCCATTAAAAGGTCAGTAATATGAGACCACTAATCCCCCACCCTACCTCCACCTGACATTGCATCAGGTCAGGTCAGGTCTCCCCTCAAAATACTTTAGCTTTTGTGTTTATTCAAGACATCTTCAGGTCATGAGACCCACTAATCCCCCACCCAAGAAAGGTGACCTGACATTCCATCCCTCTAGATTCAGTTGTCTCTGAATATGTCTTGAATAAAGTTGAAAGCTAAGGTGTTCCAGCATATACTTAGCAGAAATTTCCATTTAACGAACGGGGTCGGCTCTAATTAGTTCGTTAAATCGAGAAAATACTGTACTTAATTATACCAAAGAATAGGATTTAGAATATAATAATAAATGATGATTTTTTATGATTGAAAGAATGGTGAAATTATTTTGAGATTTTTTACATTTAGTCTTGCTTATTGCAGGGAAAAATCACTTAAGTTTGAGCTGTGTATTAGTTTGTCTTGAATTGTAAATTTGTGATGCAATACTGAAATTATTACTATTAGATGTTTTATTATGTCTAGTTACTAAGGTTTAAGTAAATGTTTTTATTTCTCAATATTCATCAGAAAATTTGACAACATTTAAGTTAGACTAAACCATTTGACTTTGACATGTGTGTTGGGCTTACTGTTACAAGAGTAATAGACCTGTACTATACTGTACTGATATATGCTCTTACAGTATATATAATGTCTTGTTTCTTATATGAACAACTGGTCACTTAGGAATACCGCAAGAATCTCCACCCCAGCTTATTTCACCCAAAGATTAACTACCCTAACCTAACCTGACCCGACCCAACCATAAAGATCAGTGTACAATATGTGTCAAGCTCACACCTGTCTCATAATACAAGGTGTGTGTGTGTGTTGAGCTGACTATGTGATGCCCAATTTTGTATAGATTTGGTTTATACTGTATGGTAGTGTGTGTGTTTGTCAGGTTCACCATGGCAGAGTAAACAGTATTCATGAGTACTGTACTGTACTTTCCTATCTCCAACTTTGTCTTGGCTATGTGAAAAGTTTAAACTTGTGTCGACATTTATGGCGTTCTATGGTAGTATGTGAATGAAAAAATATTATACAGTAAAATACTGTAAGGCAACCAGGCGGCCTGTTGAAAAAATCACCTCCAGTATACACATAAAGCTGACTGATTATTATTTCTGAGACAAGTTATTATTATTACCTAATGGAAAATAGTGATTATAATTAAGATATGAGTGAGGGAGATAGAATACAGTTTAGCAGTACTGTAGTAACTCTTGCTTCAGCTGGTCTACAAGTGTGGAAACTCTGGTCAAGTATTGTATAAGGAAGGTCTTTGTGGTAATGGTGACCTCCCTATCACAGTACTGTACATCATGGCCTTATCTACTCAATCTAAATGAGACAGTCACTTGTTTGAGGCAGTAAGAAGATCACTTTACTGCAATTTACACATATTTTTAGTCTAATACAGTATATAGTGTTGCACTGGTCATCATATTTAGTGTTCATTTCTGGACTGTAGTACACTTATGTATTGTACAGTAACACCAGATGATTCATATATTTAAGACACCAGCATGTACAGTATACAGCTCAGTATGTTACCCCCACACCCTCCTCCCTCTATCTTTTTATAATATTTGATATGTATATGTACTTAAATAACCTGTAATATTTATTTAAGAAGGCAGTATTTCACTTAATGATGGCCTGTGAGCCATTTTACCTCACTATGGGAAACAACCAAAGCCAAGCATGAGTTGGGCCTTGGTCAGGTCTGAGGGCAGTCCACAGCCTGTTACAATACTGGGTGAGTTGGGAACATCTTTGTCATAATTAATCACTGACAATAAGG